ACTCAATCTGTCACCCAAATACTTCAAATTGCATGATTTAATTCATAAATTACTCAACAATGATATCTTTCAACTCAGTTCAGTGTTTATCACCACTATTCACTAAAGAGGTTCTTCATTAGCCAACTCAATCTGTCACCCAAATACTTCACATTACATGATTTAATTCACAAATTACTCAACAATGATATCTTAAATTTTTCAAAAAGTAACAAACTTGTTCTCTACCTAGAAATTGAAGCTTTTTAGATTATAATCTCAATTAAAGCTTTTGCAAGCAAAAAACTTCAACTCCAAGCATTTAGCAATTAGCATTAACCACACTTCAAAAAACTGAGTCTTCAAAAGCTTCATATACTAAGCAGACCTAAAATCACAACATTCAACAATTAACCCAAAATAGTTAAGCTAACCCACAAAATGAAATCGATAAAGAGAAGGAAAAACAGAGAAATAGACCTTCATTGAATCTGCCTGACTCAGCCAAGTCACTGAGTAGCCTAGGAACCGATCCCAGCACGTTCTCACAATAAATCCCCTGAGGCTTGTTCACCGCCATGAGCCATTCGTCTTCATATAAGACATCACTTCTTGAGAGAGCAAAGAGGCTTGATTTTGAAGAAGCAGTCATGGCTCTCGCCAGCTCTATGTCCTTTGAGATTGACGGCAGGGGAGGGGAGAGTGGTGTTGGGTAATCTTGAGGAAGCCTGGCGGCATTCTGAGTAACGGGTTCCGATGACATATTGGTGCAGAGAAAGGGGACAGTCACCGGAAAGGGAGAGAAGGGTTTCGTACCGGAGAAGAGGCTGTGTCCGAGAAACGTTGAACGGCAGTTTAAGAGGCCCATTTTAGGTTGTGGAAAAGCTGAAACAGCTTTATGAATTATTAGGCCCAGCTCTGTTTATTTGCGCGGTAGAGAAGCTACTCCAAAAGCTGGGCCGAACACAACAGTTTCTAACCCATTTTAGCTTTCTAAGAAAAAGTAAAAACAAAATACAAAAAAATATTGTATGGTTTAAATTGCATAATAAAAAACTTTTCAAAAAATGCAAAAATAATTAGAGAAGAGTCAAGATGTTGTTGTTTTGTTGTATGCGCTGACCATTGATTGAGAGGGATCAGCTTAATATAAAAAAGTTTATTTCTCATTAATAGTTTTAAGATATGTCTTATATCCTTCTGATTAAATAATTAATTCCAATTTTATTACTCCTTGATCAATCAAAAGAAAAGTGAAAATTAGAAAAATGTCAGGACGGTCAGCCTTTTTGCATCCTCAAAAGAAAGTATAAAGTTTATGATGAATTATTATTAAGACTAATAATCCCTTCCAAATCTGGTGAAGTAAATTGAGAGTAGAAAATATATGAAAAATTATTTTTTTATTAACTTTCCTAAAGAATCGAAGATTTATTAACTAATCCAACATTCTTTGGGTTTCCTATAGCCATGCTTAAGGTGCATGGCCTCGAAGTTCCAGGTTAATGACCTGCAAGAATCAGTAAGCTGTAAATGTATAGTAATTGCACTGCTTAAGGTATTGACAACAACAAGAGCATCCAACTCAAATTCAATCTAGGGTATGCCATTTAGATAGCTATTTCAAGACCTGTTTTGATACCCCATAGTTTAGCCCTATATACTAGCTTATTCGTTCCCACACCAAGATTTTTGCCCTTATGTACACTAGAATTCCCCTATTTTGTAAATTTGCATGTGTCATCAATTTCAAAATCTCAAAGTAATTGGTGGCTGCTATTGGGGGTGGAGGGTTTTACAACTTACATATAAGAGGGAGGAAAAATAAAGGGTTTATAAGAAGTAATAATTGTGTAATTATTGTAATTTTTATTTTAAAAATAATAAAATTGAATTTTATTTTAATTACAAATGTCACATATTAATTTTTTATTTGTTCATTTTAAAATTATAATTAGAACTAGAAGTATAAAAGACAGTTCTACTATAGGAAAAAAGTTTTTTTTTTTAGTTTTTATATTGAAATTTTTTTTTTGTCTTAAAATTTGAAATTCAACATCTTTTTAATCTCTCTATTAAATTTTA